CGGAGATCGAGGACAGGGGCTTCTATCTTAGACATAAACACAATGGCAAAGCTTGGTGCCGGTCGCTGTCCTATTACCAACTTCCTTATTTGCACGAAATATTTCTCAGACCATCTGAAAATCGAGCAGTTCCCGTTTATGTTGCCTTTTATAAACGATGAAGTAAGCGTAGCTATAAAACGATGCTTAAGAAGGGCATGTCTAGAGGAATCGGTAGCGATAGTTGAAATGCCACAGGCTACTCTACGTCGTCAATTAGTTCGTAACCGCCTGTATGATCGTCTGTGTGAAGCCACAAATTGCGTAATTTGCCTTTACGACAGGGACGGTGATTGCATGAGCTCGGGTACGATATACCTGATCTCTTGTAATAATTGCGGAGATGAATATATTGGCGAAACGGGCAGTCTTTTGTGTATCCGTATAAAAGAACACCTAGACGGCAAACGAAAACTAAGACGAAGCACCCCACTAGGCACGCATAGGATACAAAGGCATAACAGACGATTTTGAAGTAAAAGTCAATATTCTTGCACAGGAGTCCAGAACACCAGCGCAAAAACTTCTTGAGGCTTTTTGGATAAATGCCAAAAACCCTACAATGAATAGCAGGGAGGAATGTCCAAAGATCATACGCGACCTGACCCCGTATGTTCGCATCAATTTCTGATGTGGGATGGTGCAGTCGTCAACCACATGCGACTATAATCAGCTGTTCTAAACTTCCTCATTGGAACTCACGTAAAAAAGCGGTGAGTTTTTCGAGAAGCTGTTGATCATGTAATTACCATAGAGTTTTTAGCCTTTTTTAAAGTGTTATTGAAGCGTTTGACCTAGTAGATTGTACATCAGTATACCCTTCCAAGCTCTGAAGAAGGCGATACTGCCGAGACGTCAGCTAGTGTTGTATTGTATTGTGTTTTTTTTATGGAAATAAATGCATACTGTATAAAAACTTCGCGAATGCTGAACAAGAAAACGACGCTGGGATATTTGTAAAATTCCGGACCGCAGATGTCTGTGGTGGGAATTGAATCTTGTTATTGCCCTTTCTTGTTGACGGTGAGCGCCTATAAAACACGGCTGGGACGAAGGCAAAAGGACACGCATGGTGTGGTGGTGAGCACGTTAGCCTCCGGAAAGCGTAATAACGAGGTTCGATCCCCGCCGCAGACATATGCGGTCCGGAATTTTGCAAATATCTCGGCATTATTGTAGTTGTATTTCACGTAATACGCTGCCATGAAAAAGAATAGACAATAAATAGAAATTGATTGCCTTATCAGAATGTCTTACTGAGTTTTTTTTTTTGATGAATTAATGCATAACGATCGGCTAAGTTTGAACCGCAACCTTGAAAATCTAAAAAATTCATTTTTTTCGATAGTTTTACGTTGACCATACATTTCGTATAGCAGTGCTCTTCTGTAACCGTCTTATCAAGGTTTAAACCGTTTTATTAAATGATTCCATGTATTGGAAACCGAAAAGTCGACCTAGTCATTTTGTGATGCTATTTCACCTTTGGAAAGTCATTGGGAGTCTCATCTCATTCCGACCCTCTACTCTTTCGTGCTGTCATCCCTGCTGAAATAATATTCTGTGCAAAATCCATTTTTATTCGGACGTTACAATGTTTTCGATTTTTTATTTTTCCACATAGAACCTTTTTTAATTCACATTTTGCCTTCATTCGGCAGCTTGTCAAGTGCAGATTAGTATTCTAGGTATCGGACCAGTAAAACTACTCCCTACCTACAATAATTTACAAAGCCTTTTTTGGACGAGTTTATTTCTCGGGCAAACTGTACTGTACACGTTGAAATGCGACACTTAGGAATACTTTGCTAGAATATGAGGATGGTAAGCACTGTGAAGGGTGCGTATTGATCGGTGGTCGGAGGCACCCTGAAATACATACGGGATCGATCCCAGGGTTCAAGGCTCACCATGCTTTCCATCCCTCCGGAGTCGGCATGTTGGTACTAGAGCTGCCTGGGAGGATCGCAGCGCTGGCTCAATACATCGGTAGGGCACCGCGAGTCATTGTAAAGGCTAGATATGCATTCAGTCACCACCAAACGATTCTTAATGAAGTGGAATGCATGGCCCATCATTCAGGGATTGATCAACGCCAGAAATTTTATCCTTTTACCCTTTAAGCACTGCCAAGACACGTGTAGATATATTTATTCAAGCCGATCTCGCCATAATTACCAGCACAGTGTGCTCGTTCATCGAAGTGGTTTCACTCAGTATGTTCTTGAAAACATTCGTCGACTTCTATGTTCATAATCTATCGTTACTATTCCAAACATTGTTTTCGAGAACACTTATTTTATAACCTACAACTTTCACAACTTACCAGTTTACTGGTAACCTTGAATCACAATCTTTGCAATGGACACCGTTTGTTTAAAATCAGCATTTCCTGCATTAAAGTTGCACTTCCTATATAGAGCAAGTAACCTTTAGTCTAGTGGGAAGGATCTAGTCAATGATTACGTATATGCATATATATATGTATATATATATATATATATGCAGCGTATATATTGTAGGTGTCTGACGAATTCGCTCATACCGATGTTGAGCTCACATGTATTGACGCTTTATTCAGGGCACGTGGACTAGGTGCATTATCAGGCGGTTTCTTATTCAAGGTGAGGCTCATACTGAAGCAACGCGACTTGCGTCAAAATTGTTTGTTTAGGTCTCTTGTAACATGGCGCGGCGTCTTCTATCAACTCAGTCACAATTGCTAAATCTCCTTGGAAAACATTTTAAATTTGAAATCGCTATAGGATTAAATGGACGCATCTGGCTGAAAGGACCTGTACATGGAGATGTAAGTGTCTTGGGATCAACTTAATATTGCAACTAATTGAATTCACGGAGTTTGACGCAGCACTTTTGTGTAAAAACGCACTCAAAGAAGAAGTCAAATCTAAACAGCTTTTGTTTCACTCTATCGTATTGTTGTTTCATCAAAAATAATTCTGTAATTTATACTACCGTGGTAAGTGTTATCCATCAGTTTGGTCAGATCGTCAATTACTCGGTTATCCCCTTTTTTGTGTTCAGCTAAATTTCTGGAATTTTCTAGTCCCTGTAATCAAAGATTCATGCATATGGAATTCTCTCACCTGTCCTTTGAGTCAAATGTTTTCTTTAAATTGATGAAAGTGAGGCTGAGCAGTCACTTGAACTTTTGATGTATCAACTGGAATGTGTCTGGAAACAGACATTTCTAAGTGAAGTCTAAACCCTCAGGTTTCATGGCACTAACGTGAAGAAATTGAGTGCTTCTCCATGACTACATACTGCGTACAGATGGCTGGCTGCTCTCTCGAAGCATCACCTGTATCACCTGTAGTCCCTTTGTTGGTCGAGTGATTCGAGTCGGCGCCAGTAAATCTTCCATTTTTCTCTGTCGCGTGCAAGAGTAGCCCAGTCGGTTCTGCTCGCTCTAGAGACTCGTTGAGTAGTATCATACTTTTCTTCTAGGCTTTCCGTGAAGAATTCTGACCGTCGTGTCGGCGGTCTTCTTGCAGTACATTTGAGATCCCGGGAAACCCAGCAGCTAACGGTTTTGTCCATTGGTTGTCACTCATACGCATTTCGTGTCCAGCCCACCTTATCTTCGACGGTTTGGCATACAGAACGGCATCTTTGATTTTTGATCGTTGACGCTGATCGAAGCGGATCCCTTCCTCTGCTTGTGTGACACGGGACATTTCGACTACGCGTTCGATAACGCTGAGTGAATTTCATCCTGCTTGCGCATCGACCAGGTTTCTGACTTGACACATACGCTGGGGCAGGAGGGACCGTTGAGTCGGAAAAGTGGGCACGGAGTCGTGTGTTTCTCGTTCTGTTCACTACATCCTTGATGCTTTCGAATGATCTCCAAGCCGCTCGTTTCCTTCTGCTCAGCTCTGGAGCTAAGTTGTTCATCATATTAATTTCCTGACCTATATAGACATAACGGAGGCATTCGGAGATATTCGTTGCGTTGAGCGTGAATGGGGCATGCGAAACCAATCCGTTCTTCATGAACATCGTTTTTGTGAGATTTAGTCGAAGATCAATCTTTCCACGAGTTATCAAAATCGGCAAGCATTCGCTCCGCTTGGCTAATACTTGATGTTGTGAGAGCGATGTCATCTGCAAAGCGAAGATGGTGTAATTGTCGACCATCGATTTTCACTCCCATATTTTCCCATTCCAATGTTCACATGGAAGGTGGCGGTAAATAATTTTGGCGAGATGGTGTCGCCTTGCCTAACTCCTCTTTTGACGTCAAGGTTAATATCGTTGTAGAATGGTGATACCTTGTTTGAGAAATTTTTGTACAGCTCACGAAGATTCTTAATGTACTGAGTAGGGACTCCTTGACTATCAAGGGCTTCCATGACTGCTTCTATCTCAATTAAATCAAAGGCCTTCTGTAAATCGATGAAAGTGAGACAGAACAGTCGTTTGTACTCTCGCGATACTTCATTGAGCCTTGTTATGGTGTGGATGTGGTCCATCGTACTAAATTCTTTTCGAAACCCTGCTTGCTCACATGGCTGTCCTTCGTCCAGTGTTCTGTCAATCCTGTTTAAGAGGACTCGAGTGAAAAGTTTATAGACCACAGACAGTAAGCAGATTAGGCGATAGTTGCCGGTATCGTGTAGGTCACCCTTCTTGAACAATAACACGGTCTTGCTGGTCTTTCACTGATTAAGCACTATGCATATTCAGAAACAACGTGTGAAGGTTCCAGCCAATGTTTTTACGAGGACTGGTGGGTGGTTCTTCAGGTGTTCTGGTCTTATTGTGTCCGGACCTGGTGCTGTTCGATTTTTCACCTACGAAATGGCGTGTCGGGTTTAGGGAGGGAGAAACGGTGGTACAACATATCCATTCTTTATTTCATATGACGGAAGGTGGACGTGGCCATCGAAGAGTTCTGAGTAGTATTCGTGAATGATTTTCTCAGTTGGCTTTCTTGGCGCAGTAACTGTTTTGTCTGGGCGTTGCAGTGCAATCATTTTGTTCTTGTAATTGGCGAAGCTTCGGTGGGGTTTGCGAATACCTTTTCCAGCCTCTGCAGTTTCCACCATCACTACTGCTCTTCTTTTTTTAAAATCTTCTTTATCACTTATCTGAACTGTTTTGCATGTTCGGACGTTAGTTCGCGGTTGCCTGCAGCTCGTGCGATTCCACGCTAGCGTATCAGCTCGGGTGTTTCTGGAGGCAAACGCCTCTTGGTGACTTTCGAACTCCCAGCTTTCATAGCGCTAGCCTGAAGATGTTGAATGAGCCGATCGTATCCCCAGAATAAGTCCCAGTTTGCGGTGGTTCTGGGACTCCGGTTTTTGAATTTAGTGGCTTTTTCTCTTTTCCGGGAGAAATAAAATCTTGCACGAAGGAGACGGTGGTCTGATCCCGTACAGAATTTTCGGACAACAGCGACATTAGTTAGGCAAAACCTATTTACTATATTGTAGTTTATTTCGTTATGGTACTCTCCATTGGAGACTCCCATGTCCAGCGTTGAAGGTGGTGCTTCTGGAATTGCGAGTTACCATGGACGGTCTTGGTCGCCATGATAAACTCAGATAAATACTCACCCTCTTCGTTCCATTCCAATCCGTGGGTCCCAATGTGACGTTTTTCAGACGTTGTTCTTGGTCCAATTTTGGCATTGAAACCTCCAATGATGGCCTTGAAGAATGTATGGTTTTCTCTGTAGAATTTCTCCAAGTTCATATAGAACGCTTCGACTTCTTCGTCATAGTTTGATGTCGGCGCGTAAACGACGAAGATTGTCAAAGCCGGTATTGATCCTCATCTTTTTAATCGTAAACGTCCGATTCACGTTGCAAGTTGTTCGAATGAATCGATGTTCATGGACAAACTCGTGTTGACGGGAACGTCGACGCCGCCGACTCCTCTACTGTCGCATGTTCCGAGGAACAGTTCTTCGGTGTCGTGGACGGCATTTAAAGGCTGGTGTCTTCTCGTCTGGGCCAGGTCGATGACATCGTACATTGCTCTTCTTGCTGGTATGTGCAAGTTTTCTATCGAGGACTCGGTTGCAAGTGTAATTGCATTGTAGATATAGATCGTCACCCTAGTTCTTTGTAATCCAGGCCGCTTCCATTGTACCTGAGATTTCAGCAGACTCTCCGTACTCGTCCTACCCAATGCAGAAATTGGGGGCTTTTTCGGTGTCAGGGCAATTGGGCCCGTTTTTCTCCTTTCTGTGTTTAGCATTTTCATACCCACGTATAGCTTGCTGGGCTCTGAAGATGGGGACTGAGTATACTCATGGGTAGCTTGCCAGGCTCTCCGAGAGTGGACATGGAGCTTATTTGTTGGAGGCGACTCCTAACCGCCTCCCATGTACTTCCCAGTCGCTTGATTGCAGGCTTTTGACCGAAAGGGTCCGTAGAATACAATCCGCATAAGCGAGAACGCACCCACACACGCGTGTATTGAATACGTCTCGTAAATACAGTATGTATGTGCCAAATCAGCACAGCAGAAACAGGGAGTCCATCTCTGCATCCACCTGCGTCTCAGGGATGGAAAGGCCGCTTTTGGTCCGCGATTAACCCTCTATCCGCCACATGGGGACGCTCCATGTAGGCTCGCAACTAACCGGCCGGAGATCCTTCATTTAAGGGAGCTCCGTGGTTCGAAGCATGCATTGAACTTTTTTTGGACGGGACTCATAACCAACTCCATTGTACTTCGTAGTCACTTGAATGCAGGCTTTTGATCGAATGTGCTTGTAAAATGCAGTCTTCGTGCGTGACGGCCACGTACGTATGCCTTCATACAAACAGGTGTGTGTCTAATTGACGAAGCAGGAGTAAGGACTCCATTTCCTGGATCCACTTACGTCTCAGGGAAACACAAGACCGCTTTTGGTGCGCGTTTAAACTCTTGTCCCCCATCTGGGGACGCGCCAAGTAATCTGGCTCTTGACTGATTTGAGGGACGGTACCTTTATCATACATTGACAAGAACGAAGTGATTATCAGTACAAAATGATTTTGTGAAAGCCTTAAAAGAGACGTTTTACAAAGGATTTACTGGAGAAGAAGTGTAAGACGTTGGTTTTTTCTTTCCAAGTGCGAATAAAACTCGTGTTTCTTTCATTTCATTTGTTTTGAATTTAAAGAAAAGTTGTTTGCAGATTATCACTATTCACAACATTATAAAATGGTCTGAATATGTGCTAGAATGTGATATGTCAAAATATGTCGAAGATGGAATTCGTAATTCAAAACCTATTGCTGTGATGGAAAGTGCAGTCGAAGAAAACGCAGAGGAACGAAGTGTCTAAAGAGATCTTTTTGAGAGCTCTTTAAAGAGTCTTTTTCTGTTCTGGATGTTTTTCCTAGGTTGCTAAAATGGTGTCGTGCAATTTATTAGAGCAACGTCATAAAGAAGATAAGGCTGCTTAGGATGCTTGTTTTGGAATTTTTAAAGATCGTTTCAATGGTGCGTTGTGTGGTTTGCTTTCCGCTCAATCTACTTGATAATTTCCACTGTAGATCTGTTTAAAGAATTCTTGTCTGAAATTGCGTTCGAAGATTGCTGTCAACTGCGGTGTCGTTTCAGCCTACTCCAAGTACATTGTAATCAGAAGTTTCCTCCTACAAAAATTTTGAAGAGAATTGTCTCATCGAGCATTCCTGTCTTTTTTTGTTAGATCGCATATTTTGTCAAGTGGTTGTTCCTATTTGCGTATTTCGTTCTTTGTTGTTGATTGTATTTAATAAATTTATCAATTTTGGATTTTTTTTTCAACTCTATGCGGTTTTCGTGCGCATATTTCTTACCCTAAAAGCAGTTTATATCACTTAAATTCTTCCATTATACTATGAAGGTAATGTAGAATTTCATAACAGCCGTCTTTTATACATGAGTTTAGGTTTTTCTCCTTGGGTTACGACGAGAATGGGATCGAGTAGTTTGTTAGAGCAGCGTCAAAAAGAAGATAAAGCTGCTTGGGATGCGTATTGGCAATTGCGTGACTTAGATTCACGAGGTACAATATTCCCCAGATTTAAATACTACGCACAGAAGGCGTTCGATGCTCCTGCAACGTGGTTCAGAGGTGAGTGTAGTCTGATTTTCGCTTTCTTTTTCTTCCAGTTGTATATGCTGAAGTTGTAGGGAGTAGTAAGTCGTAGTTAACACTTTCGCGACGATGTGGGGTTTGTATTGACTGACAAGTTGCGGATGTACTGTGGCATGGTTGGGTTTCCATTCATTTTTCCGGTGGCTCATGGCAGGTGATGAATGCTATGTTCACCACTAATTACGTTACAAATGACTGTTTATTGTAGGAGTTTGTTGCACGGCCAAGTACTTACTTGGATACTTGGACGGTCCGTCTTCACGACCTGTGCGGACCCAGCACATATGCCATTCGTTCCTTTCTCTCGAAATCGTAGTCCATGGTGGTGGTCTTGTTCGAGCATGGTAGCGCTTGCGAGTCTCTTACCGTGATCTGTAAAACAACTGCAGCTGCGGGTACAGCTGATTAACTTTGTTTACGACCACGTCCGCTTAACACGTAGGTGGCCGTCCTATGAGACGTTTGCATTCTCTTGGAGTACACTATACTGTTCTTTTCGTCCATCTGTCGTCTGCTCTTCTCATTATGTGACCGGCACATCTATGTTTCGCTGTCGATGTATATTCTCCTGGATCTCGAAAGTGTGACAGATTTCGAAGGTTAGAGCTTCGCATTCCGGTTAAATATTGAGAGTGCCGGTCATATTTCGGAAGACATCGCTCAAGCGCTCCGTGAGTAGTTCGAAGCATTCCTGACGTAGTTGAAGTATCAACCCACGTCCTGCAGCATAACAGAGCGCTAGGAGGACCGTAGAATCGAGATGAACCCGGATTTTCGGGTCCTTTAGTTGGTCGGTGGCTTCTTTGAGAGGCCAGAATGCGGCCCGAGCTGCTCTTCTTCTTTCTAGTTCCTCGGTCATGTTGTTTTCCATGTTCATTGATCGCCCAAGGTATACGTACGAGGTGGAACGGGGATTGTGGAACGGAAAAGGTTGGTGTAGAACGTTTCCGCTATTAATTCCATAGCATGGCTGGAAGTTTTGACGATCCCATCTTCGTTCATCAGGGCTGACAACGGAACATTGTAATCACACAAGTCCCGACGGCATTTTTTCAGACTGCTTTCTCTGCTGCTTCCAGTATTTACTTCTGCTTGTACCGTTGTAGATCTTCCTGCAAAGCTCTTCTGCAGCTGGCATTTATTACTAGCCATGCTAAACGTGTTGCAGTAGGATCATGCTTCAGTTTCCTCCTCTTTTCGAGCAATTCCTTAGTAGTGATGGTGATGCGATCCGATTTCCTTGCTTGAGGAACTGAGGCGAATTCGGCACAGCTTTTCAGTCCTCCGGTAAGCAGCTCATAGTCTTCGGTCAGGTCTTCTTTAATCTGCCAGTCACGTTTGGACAGGACTTCGTTCAGAATGTTTTCGTCGTATACAGCTAGACTTTTTCCTCGTGGTCGATGAGGAGAGTTGTTTTCCAGCTTGCGGCTGAAACGAGTCTTCGCGCGAAGAAGGCGGTGATCGGAACCAGTACAGAATGCCGGTACTACCAATGTGTCAAGTAAGCACCATCTTCTGTTTGTCAGAATATGGTCGATCTCCTCATGAGTTATGCCGTTGGGAGACTCCCATGCACAGCGGCGGTTTTCTCTTTTCTGGAAAAACGAGTTTCCATGAAAAAGACGTGCTGCCAACAGGAGTCCTGCGAGAGGGTTCCCATTCTCATTTCCTTCTCCTAATCCAAAATTTCCGATCCGGTATTCTCTCTCGTTGGTCTTTCCTATTCTGGCGTTGAAGTTACCAACAACAAATTTATGATATTCTTTATAATTGCGGATGACTTCCTCCAACTGATAGTAGAATGTATTTAATTCGTACTCATTAGCTTCGTCGGTCGGTGAGTAGCAGTTGATGATAGTGATCTTCTTATGATGTGACAGTTAAAGACGGAGGACGGCTATGCGAGGAGAAAGGATCTTGTATGAGTCGACGAGATGGACAATGGACTGGTGGACGACAAAGCTTATGCCGCCAACATTTCGTGACGCGACCTTTTCTCCACAAATCACAAGAGTCTTGTTGTTTAGGTGGCGTATGTCGGTCTTTTAGATTTTTGTTTCTTGTAATGCGATCACATGAAATTTAATGCGATCTGCGGCTACAAGAAGGGCGTGAAGATCGGCGTTTATGGAGAGTGTTCTGGCATTATACGTGCATAGTATGAAATAATCTCCATGGCGTGTCGTGCGCGTGTTCGTCAAATCCGGTTCCAGTGACGTCCTGCGTAACCCGAGTTTTCTGGCCTCTCACCGCCTGACGTCATTGACGGGAGCACCCAGTGTGCGGGGAACTGAGGCAGGCCTATTGCTGCTCGTGAACGTTGGTCCTCCCTGGAGTCCTAACGTTACCTTGCAAGGGCGTGTCCAAGTCTTCACCACGATATGGATCAGAAGGAGGTGTGTTTTCGGCGACGAATCCGTCGCTCGGTCTTCCTACTAGCTGATTCGGAGAGATGTTAAAACCGAAATGAGAAACGAAAGTGGGAATGGTAAAGTAACCGACCGCTCAAGGACGATGTAGAAGCCGAAAGACCAAGTAGGCCAAGTACTAGTGCTTTTGAAAGAACATACTCATATCAGAGACTGTTGGTGTTTGACGTACGAAGATCTCTATTGTACTTGGGTATCGAAGTTCAACGATTATCACACTTTTTGACTGTGATGTAATGGTAAATCTCTGGAGGTGGATGAATAAACATAACTTTATTGTAAATGTATCCTTCAAGGCAACTTCCTGTTCGCCAATTACAATGAAGTGACAGTGAATTACTGGTAAAAAATTGGATTAAGTTTGACTTGAATAAGGTCTGTGAGACCACTTATTGAGTGTGAACCGATGAAACCTGTTGTGCGAGCACCCACAGAGAATCACTAATGTATTCGAGGAAACGTCAACCGATATGGACAAGAGAGGAATAAGTCGTGTGTACTGGCAACTGTTTAAGAGGTGAAAAACTTATTCATCTGTTCTTCCACTTGGTCACTTAAGCATGAGTGCTAATATCTAATGTGGCAATGTGTAGAAAGTGGAGATTAATGAGTTCAAGAGCGAACTCTACTTGAGCTTTATTTAGTTAGTGAGAGCACACATAGAAATAGCCTTGTGTTGGAAAATATCGGTCAACAATCAGGGATAAGTAGATGTTGAGTTGGCTGCTACAAGCAGTCATCTAGGCATGATGCTCCCAAATCTGCTAAATTACGTACGAGGCACTAAGCGAAATACAACCACAACGTTGCTGAGATATTTGCAAAACTCTGGACCGCAGGTGTCTATGGTGGGGATCGAACGCGCTATTATCCTTTCCGGGGAGTAACGCGTTCACCACCACACCATGCAGGTCCCTCGTTTCGCCTGTCTCTCAGCTATTTCTATCGAACTTTGCCACAGCAATCACCCGTCAGCGGGGTTGATCTGGGGAGCGCAAATCGGCATAGAACCCAGTTAAGCTATGGCTGTAGTTGAAATCACAATGTTTAACGTTTTGTTTTCTGCCTTCTATAATTTTCATGGCAGGTTTTAATTGTATTCAAAATGCGTCTAAGTATTGTACGTCGAAGAGATTACAGGTTATGGTGACTGTAGAGGGTGAAAAAAAAAACAAATATTACATGATTACAAACACTATCTTGTGAAATGTCAATCACATGTTTTAAAGTGCAAGGTTTACAACATTAGTAAAATGTCATGGGAATAAGAATGAAGGTTGTCTTACTTACTTGAATACCTTGACAGTCCGTCTTCACGAGTTGTGCGAACTCCAACACATTTGCCATTTGTTTCTTTTCCTCACAGTCGTTGTCAATGGTGGTGGTTTATAATTCCGTTGGATCCACAATCCCTCGTACTGAAGATATGCATACGCCCTTACAAGGTTAAGTCAGGGCTCCAGAGAGGATCAAGCTGCCCAACCAGTAATAGGCCCGCCGCAGTGAAGATTATCTAGTGTTCGCAATGCACAACTCGTTGAAATGCACAGATGAATGGACCATGTATGTACGCCTAGCTCTTCTACGTATTATAGACATATCTGTACAAGTTTCTTTAGTGATCTATCATCTTATCTTGGTGATAAATTCTCTTGGATCGCGAATTTTGGTGTGCAGGTACAGTATCCGTGCACACCGGCTGTGGAACTCAAATCTGCTGGGTAAACTGATCCGAAAATTAGTTTTGGTTTATTTTTAAGGGTATAATAGAGCTTTTCCCGATCGAACCTCCCCACAGCATCTGTGTTGGGTAAGCAGTCGAGTGGTTAAAAAAATTGCAGCAAGAAAAAACAGAACCTGCGACAAGGTAAACGATCACCTCACTTTTATCACCTGTAATCCAGTTGAATGTCATGTGAATGGAGTGGGCGCCAGTAAATCTTCTATTTTTCCCTGTCGCGCGCAAGAGTAGCCCAGTAGGTTCTGCTTGCTCTAGAGACTCGTTGAGTAGTATCATACTTTTCTTCTAGGCTTTCCGTGAAGAATTCTGACCGTTGTGTCGGCGGTCTTCTTGCAGTACATTTAAGATTCCGGGGAACCCGGCAGCTAACGGTTTTTGTCCATCGGTTGTCACTCATACGCATTTCATGTCCAGCCCACCTTATCTTCGACGGTTTGGCATACAGAACGGCATCTTTGATTTTTGATCGTTGATGCTGATCGAAGCTTCGGATCCCTTCCTCTGCTTGTGTGACACGGGACATTTCGACTACGCGTTCGATAACGCTGAGTGAATTTCATCCTGCTTGCGCATCGACCAGGTTTCTGACTTGACACATACGCTGGGGCAGGAGGGACCGTTGAGTCGGAAAAGTGGGCACGGAGTCGTGTGTTTCTCGTTCTGTTCACTACATCCTTGATGCTTTCGAATGATCTCCAAGCCGCTCGTTTCCTTCTGCTCAGCTCTGGAGCTAAGTCGTTCATCATATTGATTTCCCGACCTATATAGACATAACTGGAGCATTCGGAGATATTCGTTCCGTTGAGCGTGAATGGGGCATGCGAAACCAATCCGCTCATCATGAACATCGTTTTTGTGAGATTTAGTCGAAGATCAATCTTTCCACAGGCTTTATCAAAATTCTAGGGTTTTCGTTGGTAACTTTAACCATCGGGTCGGTAATCTTCCTATAATACGCTTGACATCCCGAGGAATCCAGTCACTAACGGCTCTTGTGCATCGGTTATCATTCATAAGCATTACGTGTCCGGCCCACCTTATCTTCAGCTGTTTGGCATACAGTACGGCATCTTTGATTTTTGATCGTTGACGCAGGTCGGAGCTTCGGATTCCTTCCCCTACTTGGATGAAATGGAACACTCCTAGCATCGTCCGTTAGACTGCGCTTTCAATAAGACTGCGTGATCTTTCATCCTGCTTACACAGCGACCAGGTTTCTGACGCGTACAATAAAGCAGGATGAATCATGGAGTCCAAAAGGTGGGCACGAAGTCGGGTGTTCTTAATTCTATTCACTACTTCTTCGATACTCTTGAAAGCTCCCTGAGCCGCTTGTTTCCTTCTGCTCAACTCAAAGGTAAACGATGTGAAATAAAATCGGTTGTATTTGTCCCATATTAGTCGGTTTGTCCGAAAATTTATCGAAATGCGTATATGACTTCTCGCTAATGTGGGAAATATAGTACCGCTTCCTTGAATCAACGGCGAAGTGGAATGTAAGGCATGGTAACATAACTTTATTTGAAATTAACTTAATGTCTATTTTAAATCAATGTAATGTTGCCTAAACCTTACTGTTTGATCCGGTGGCTGTTTAGAAGAGCAATGTCGTACGCTAACGACTAAACTTCGTATTTCGTATTATATTTAGGCTTTTAGAGGATTTCAGTATGGAGAAATATTTCACTTGAAAACCTTGGGAAAAACTGGATAAAATTACGTCGAGCTTCTCCAACTTTGGACTTTTTCTTTATGTTTGCGTCTCAGTAAATGTTTAGAGGAATGTATCTCATGAATTGCTGATGATTTATAACAGTGTCCAAATTTTGACTATTAATGTTTCGAAGCATTGAGATATGGAGCATGTTCTATGGGCAATATCTTTTACATATTTTGAAAACTTGCAAGTTGTTCATATAGGTTGGTAAAACATGCTCCAACGATGTGCTCCCACCAAAGACCATTTGCTAGTTGTGTACTACCATCGTTGTTTTGTACAGGAGACCATTTACTTACTTGGATACTTGGACGGCCCGTCCTCAGTGGTTGTGCGGATTCCAGCATATTCTTCATTTTTAGGAGTTTTACTGGTTTAGCCTGTGTTTCACTAGAGTCCCGAGGTCAGCTTGGCCAAGTCTGCCCCAGGTCGTCAGTAGTATAGGCAGTTGCCGTCCTTGTGGATCGGACAGAGGTTTGCCACTATGCAACTAGTTTGATACCAGGACGATGGTGGTTCCTGGTATTGATTTACTTCTAGCTGGGCTTCCTGGTGAAAACCCCGCACTCAGCCTGGGGAGCCTGCTGGGAGAATGAATCACCTTGCTGTAGATTGCAGCCCGATTCCCAGGAACACCTTCTAACCACGATGAGGCGGGAGAACAGGAGAGTATTTAGGAGTGTTAACGCGAAAGCACAAAAAAACCTTAGCAAAGTTTTGTTTTCTTCGTTGGGGATTTCTACGAAGCCCGTTTATATTCGGCTTCTACTTGTAATCTATCCATGTTTATCCAAATATACGGTGTTTGAGAATAAAACTTTGATCTGCACCATGCATGTAGGCCAAGAATAGTTTTGTGTAGATGTGTCATTCTCTTTTTCAGCACTTACATCTGAAGAGAAATAGGAAGAGAACGGCACATTTATAATCCAGTGCCGAGGTTAGTAGAAAGTCGATCTTGGGAATTGTTAAGAGTTATGTCTAGTTGTAATTACGATGAGTAGTGTTATTGACACCCGGAGGCTTTTCGTAGATAGTTGTTGGTTGGACTTGCTTTTCTTATATTACCTTGACCACTAATTTAGCGGAACATTGTCATATTTCCCATTGCCATCACTTACATTGTCTAGCAAATTTGGTTCTTTTAGAGGCGTTCAAAGCTAATTGAAAATCTATTAGAAAAAAGTATATTCTATATAACTACAAGGATGCTGAGATATGAGCAAAACTCGGAACTTCAGGATGGTTTCAAACACGCGACTACCCTTACCAGGAGCTCACCTGCTATCCGTCACATCAACTGAGGCCCAGGCTATGCATTTCTCTTGGCCATATTTTTACCCCATAAGTGGTATCAGCAATCCCCCTTCTTTCTGTTATTTCCCTTGAGGTACTGTTGAATGATGTGGACTCCCGTTGAAGGTAAGACGTGATTTTTGTATAAAACAAGACCACTCTGTTCAAAGTCAGACGAACATATTTGTATCAGACGTCTTAAGGATTAAAACCCTGATATGGTAATTTTTATTAACAAAGAAACTGGCGTTTCGGCGGATTTCGCCTTCTTCGGAGCATGTGAATGTCAAGTTATCTGCAATCTTGTCAGTGAAACACGTCTATAACGGCAGCAGAAAATTTAGGAAACCTAGATTCCAATCGCATTAGGAGCAAAATTGCGGCTTCGCACACTCAGCGCTTTCTGCGAGTTTTCCACTGAGTATTTCACATGAACACCAGCTCCACAGTTCACATGGATAGGTAATAGTTTAGCTCTTTCAAATTAAAATGTCAGTTTGAGATATTGGTCTGAATTCCAAGGATCGGGGAATGAACCGCAGATAGGAATGCCTCGTCTTCACGCGTAGTCTCGCACAATATCTCAGACTGATTTCAATGTAGGAGAGGTGCATTGCACATTCATGTGAGCTCTGTACAGTTGGGTCTTCACGTGAACATTCAGTGGGCGACTCTTAGCGATGAGTATGCGAAGGAGCTATTTTGATTCCAGTGTGATTGGAATCTTGGCCTGTAATTTTTCTGTTGGGGTGGCGGAGGTGTTTAGCTGAATAGTTTTCAGTAATTTTGATCTCCACATGCTCTAAAGATGACGAAATCCACCGAAAGATTAGCTTTTTTGTGAATAAGGAATAAAGTAACAACTTCATCTATGCTCATTACGTAAACGACGTATTCTTGATCATACCGAGGTTAAGGCAAAGTTGGCCTTGGGAATTACCGATACAGTGTATTGGTAACCCCTTATATCATTATGTAGACTAAATATGCGTTCAGTTAACTCTAAAATGCCTAGTGAAATCGAATGCTTAGCGCATGATATAAAGAATGGGTCGACTCCATAGAGCTTGTCCTTTCTAGATATCATCTTCTCATGACTAACTTTTGGAATTCTTTCAAGAATTCCAAAGCATTGTCTTCCTTTGTTGGTATTTTCTAAAATAGCTTCTGCCATTGTAAGCCATTGCTCTGTATTACTGTTACCAATGTTAGTGGGAATTTTCAACACACTTGACACTTGACACTTGAGCGGCCTCTCCTCACTGGTTGTGCGGACCCCAGCATAATCAACGTTTATCGGAGATTTGCTGGCTAAGCCATTGTGGCTCCTTGGAGTCCCGACGTCAGTCTGGCCAAAGTCTGCCCCAGGTCTTCACCACCACGGGCGGTCGGAATTTTCAACAACGTGTACTAATGGTAAGCATTTGCTGAGATTTTGAAGAAACTCCACCTGATAATTTTTCATGAATTATACATAACCTTTATCTTGATGTTAAGACAAACTTTTTTATTTCAGAAAAAATTGTGGAACCTACGAACAACAGGAATCGTTTACCGTATTATCAACGTAAGCTGACTCGTGTACCGGAAATTGATGAGTGTGGAGTCAATGACAAGGTAGGTGAATTCGTCTACGATGCCTTAATGCTCTTAATATGTGTAGAAATATACTTAAGATTCGTTTTTTCTTTTTTCTCCTATTTTGATCAAAGTCAGGTTAACTATGTCATAAAATGCCTTTAACTATAAATAATTTGTTTTGACGAAACATTTTTCCGTTGAAGGCGTGTTTCTTTGAAGCTAATGAACAATATCGTCTCGACAAAATGGTTGATGGTTTTATTCTACAGGTAAATTTTAACATCTTCTTTCCAAGAAATGTTGAACTTTCGATCGTTTTTTAAATTAATTTTTAGATTCTGCGCCACCGTGCTGACCGCTGCATGCTTTACCACAAACCGGATTTGTCACCTTGCGCTAAGGTTCGTATCTTTTTGTCTTCTTTTCATTTTGTTTCACGCTGTCACCAATATCTCTTTTAGGTTATTGAGGACTTAGAAGAGAACGAATTGAATTTTTTCATAAAATATGGTGAGTTGGGAGGGGAAGCGGACGTTCGTGATGCATACATGAAGCAGAAACACCGACTTATTTGGGAGCGACGTCACCCAGAGATCATGGAGGCACGGCAGAATGCTCTCAAAGAGCATAAAGTGAGCCGATGACCAGTGTTTTTTATGTGTACTTTCTTTTTTGTCGTTTTTTAGAGAAAGTGGAGGATATTGGACATTGGACTTAAGATGTTCTTTATTACAATTATCCATGATATACAACTAATGCATGTAGCGCCAGTGGTCGGAGGCGCACTGCAACAAACACCTGGAATCACTCTTCGCGACCATGATCCACCAAGCCTTCCATCACTTCGCGATTGGCAAATTGATACCAGTCTTGTCTGGGAGGTTAGCAGCACTGGCTCGATACATCGGTAGACCACCGCTAGTCATTGTAAAGGCCAGATATGCATTCGGTCACCTCCAAACGATGATTAACGAAGTCGAATGCATGGCGCATCTCTCAGAGATTGATCACTACCACCGACAGCCTTGTCCTTTATTTATCCTTCGTACAGCTACTGAATTGTTCTGTTTTAGCTGTTAATTGAACTTGCAGGAAAAACTAGCTAATGGGGAATTTGACTACTCATTCTGGAAGAAAGGCATGTTCTGGCAGGATAAGAAAAAATACGAAGCACCGTACGAATTTTATGTATCTAAATCACCACTTGAAGGTGATAGGCCTCTTTCAAAGGATTGGCAATATTACAAGAAGGTTTCTTCTTTCTTCACATACGTGTTGACTTATTAGAAGCACTTTATACACTTTTTTAGGTCGCCCAAGATCCGGAATTTGACAAGGAGCAAGGGAAGACGTCAAGCGTTCGTCTCTTTTAGGTTTTTTAATGTAGTATATAGTGTGGCTATAGGTATGATGCGTTGTTTGGATTTTTAAAGGATTAGCAAATTTACGAATAAACTTGTACAACCTATTTTATTTTATTTCAATTGTAATGAAAGGTGCCGTTTTGAGTTTCGGCCATGTGATTCTCATATATTTGTTTATGTTTACCGCTACACTTTTTGTGTATACAGTTGGTCATCCGGTTACTCGAGTTTCCACCTGTAGAGCTTACATTCTCCCTTCTCAGGCTGGGGATGCGCGGTGTGTTCCGCTGGCTAGTGAAGAATGAGGAACGCTACACTTTCCACAAAAGAAAAAAAAAACTATAAAGCGTTCGTTGTTGGTCAATCTCTGGGGGATGAGCTATGCTTTCGACTTCATGGAAAATCGTTACATGTGATCGAATGCATATAAGGCCTGTGCAACAGTTTCTAGTGTCACGCTAATGTATCATCTCAGCAGTACTGTCTCGCAGACAAATTTGGTACCAGTTTCCCGACTTTAGTGCGATAGAAAACTTGGCGTGATCAGGACACAGGATAGAACCAAAGCCTATGTGTGTATTGCAAGGCACCTCAAACTACTGCTGTAGCCGTGGTAGCCATACCCTATACATTTCATGTGAGATATAGTTCGCCAAGCTCTGCAGTGTGAGGGTGTTACTTATCGTATCCTCCCGGAGTAGACCGTAAAATATAGTTGTCATAGACCGTTCACCCCATGTGTTTCTCACTCACCTGATTGCTAACTTTTTGCGCGAATCCACGTGCAGGTCACGCCGTAAGTGACTACGTTTTATAGAAGTTGTAGGTTACTTCATTACAACAGAGGTAAGAATTCACACTATGAATTCTTCTGAAACATATCGTCGTCTTAGACTCGCATCAAACTTCCTCTCCGACTTCTGTTGATATGGTTTTCTATTTTCTTGAAGAAAGCTTTCGGCATTTGATTGTTCTCTTATTAGAGCAACCCACCACTACTATGCCGCAAAAGATTCAAGCATTGCTAGCCAGGTATTCAGACAAATGCATCCTTATCAGACGGTAGAACTTACTTACTTGGATACTTGGATGGCTCACCCTCACTGTTCGTGCGGGGCCCAGCATAATCTTCATTTTTTTTTTCGGGGTTTTGATGGCTTAGCCATTGTGATTCCTCGGAGTCCCGAGGTTAGCCTGGCCAAGGTCTGCCCAGACGATAGAACTACAAAGTTTTATAAAGTCTTCGGGCTATTTTTTTTTTCAGAGATCCACTCTCACCGAGACTAGGAGAAGCAGTTGTCCATCGGTATTGTTACGGGATCATACATGTTGGTCTCCTTAGAAGATGCTCCTAACAAGTTTCAGGAGAGCCCTTTATGTGCAAGGCCAATATGTTGGAAAGACAAGGTGCAACTATGTCCTGTCTAATTGCTGTTGGGTTCGCTGTTGTGATTTGTTGACTTGTTCGCTTCTTTTAGAGAATACTTTTACTATATAAACCACGAAGGGATGTTGTTTCTGGATAACTCACGTGCGAAGAATTTCACTTCTGCCTATAAAGGTGTGTTTGGACTTTTTCAAAAGACTTATTTCTACATGAATATGAATTGCTCATACACTTATGTGATTTAACAAAGTATCTGTGTAGTTGTGCTGATGCTGACAGTTTCGTTCCTTGAGGGCTTTCTAAGGATTTTTAGACATCGAGTTCCTCAATTTCTTTTATAAACAACTGCGGTTGAATAAGACTGGTCGGTTCGAGGTGAGTTCCTGTTATTGCCTAGATCCATTTACTTTCTTCTTTTTCTTTTCTTTTGGTATGTAGTATGGTCTTGATTCTTCAGGTGCATCTTATTACCATGGGCGTGTGTGGCGCAGTGGTCGGAGGCGCCCTGCAAACACCTGGGTTGATTTCCTCGCCCCTGGCCCACCAAGCTTTCCATCCTTCCGAGGTCAGCAAATTGGTGCCAGACTTGGAGGAGAGCAGCACTGGCTCGATAGATAGGCAGTCCAACGCGAGTCATTGTAAAGACCAGATATGCATCCAGTCACCTCCAAACGATGCTTATTAAAGTAAAATGCATGGCCATCCTCAGGGATTGATCAACGCCGAAAGTGTTATCCGAGAGCTTTTTTTATTTTATCATTTCGGTCTAGTGTAATTGTTTGGGTGTTTCATGCATAGCAATTCTCTAAAGTTAATTGATTCCCTTCTTCGACCGAATTTTGGTCCACTGTTTTCAAAGTGATCAATTCAGGATTTGTTTCCGTACGTCAGTCTTTGTGGTCTTGAACGAAATTTTCTGCGTTGTGACGACAGGCCCATAGTTTTTACAGAAATTCAAGATAATGGTACCACGTTACGCATTGGGCAATCGTCCAGGACATACCCATTTGAGGTGTAGTTCTTCATTCAGGTATTTTATATTCTAAAATAAAGGCGTTCTTACTCTGTTTAGCACTAAGTGACTTCTCAATGGTTTACCGCCTCATCGTAGCTGGGAGGTGTTCCTGGGTGTCGGGCTGCGATGTATAGCAGGAAATTCATGCCTCCAGGACGGTCTCCCAAGCCGAGAAAGAATTTGACGTTTCCATGAGAAAGTCCAGCTAAGAATAAACCAAAACCAGGATCCATCCCCGTTTTGCTATCAAATTAGTCGCATAGTGGCAACTATTTCTGATCCACAAAGGCGGCGACTGCCTGCGTTGGCGACGGCCTGAGACAGACTTTCGCTAGGCTGACCTGGGGACTCCAGAAAACCATGATGGCTAAACTAGGAAACATTTTAAAAAATGGAGATTATTCTGGGCCGGTACAATTAGTGAGGACAGCCCGTGCAAGAATTCAAGTAAGTAAGAAGCACTAAGTGGTGCGGCAAGATGACTGTTCGCAATCAGTTTGTTTTATATTCCAGAAGTTTTATTTCTGCGATAATCGATTTTAGCCCACGTCTTTGTCAATGTTGAAGAATGGTCGTCTGTATCACAAGGCTCCATTTGGAGGATATGGCTTAGTTATGTCGAAAACGGCTGATAAACTCTTTCCACTCTTCACTTTTGACGAATACGGGTATCCGGTTGATTTTTGTTGGCGTGGGAAAAAGCACATTCTGACAAATGAAATACGTAGGAACGTAGGGCAATAAGTGAGTCACAGTTGTTGTAAAATTAGCTGAAAGTTTTTAAATCCTTTTTTGCAGTTCACTGTTATCCTTCGTAGTATTTATGCTCATGTCATTGTTAAACAAAATTTTCTAAGCTTAGGATTAGGTAATTTGTTAGGGTTTTCAATTTGCGCATCTTCAATGGTGTTTTCTTTCCTCTTCTTTTTTCTGCTCTAATTTGAACATCTAATTACGACACCATTGTCCATTAAGGACGCTAAGTTTCTGTTTGATTTAAATAAAAAGTGTTATGACTGTTTGTTCTTTTTAAATTTATAGACTAGTTGTGATCTTTCTACCTTTACTGCTGTGCTCGAATAAGTCTCGAAAAATACGTGTTACATAGTGAAAACCGGTTTTCCTTGTGGGATGAGCGCTCCAGGAGCACCGAAAAAGTCTCGTCGCTCACATGAATGTATTCCGGATGTGAGTTAGGTTTTAGTTGGTTGATGCAAATAATCTCGATACTGGGATCATCACTGCTAGTTTAAGGAAGATGACGGTGAACCAATAGACGTTTTTTGCGTGGAGCCCAGCGATCCCAGTATTACTAAGAATGAACTTGATTACTTTCTGGAAACATTCACAGTAAGTTTTTTATACCTCAAGTAGTGTCGTATGTGGTGTGGCAGAACCTACTAAAGAAATAAAGTTGTAGATAATTAGGGGCGCATGTGGCGCAGTGGTAGGAGGCGCCATGTAAAACACGGGGGATCGATCTCCCGCCCAAGGCTCATCAAGCCTTCCATACCTAAGGCGTCGGAAAATTGGTACCAGACTGCTCTGGAAACTTAACAGCACTGGTTCGATACATCCGTAGGCTACCGCGAGTTATTTTGAAGCCCAGACATGCATTCAGTCACCTCCAACGATGCTTAATGAAGTCGAATGCTTGGTGCATCCCTCAGCGGTTGATCAACACTGAGAGCGTTATCGTTTTTTATAGATAATGAACGACTGTGGCATAGGGGCTGTCTGGCTGTCGGAGGAAAAAGCACTAGAAGTCTCATCCAGTGATGAGGCATTCTATTTTGTTGCTGTGTTTCGTGGTCGCATATTCGAGCATCTTAAGAAGATAGGTGTAAAGTAAGTTGATATTAAGCGTCTTCTAATTTCTTGAGCAGAATCACATCAAATGTCCGTTGTTTCAGTCTCTATGGAGTTCATGTTGTACGACAAACATTGAGTACAGGTGGCTGTTTACCACGTTGGGATTTTCCAGTGTATGCGCTTAATCTGACGGGCGCCTGTGTTTGCTTCACGGGCTTGTCTTTGCAAAAACGGGTCAGATTTGTACTGAATAATTAGTACTGTGTAAATATTATTATGATTATAATTTAGGAGGAATTGAAAGTAAAAATTAACTACATGAATGGTGTGGTCTCTCCTTCTCTGACTGAAAAAGTAACACATCTCGTCACCGACTACTGTGATACTGCTTCTAGGAAGTATACGGTGGGAAAATCACTTTTTTCGGCGAATTTTCTACGTAATGAGTCGTAAGTCTTGCTTGATACTTGGAGGATGGCCTCTCTGGTTGTGCTGGTCCAGCATATTCTCCATTGAATTTTGCTGGTTAAGCCGTTGTATTTCCCTGCAGTCCTGAGGTCAGTCTGACCAAAGTCTGCCCTAGGTCTCATCACCACAGGCAGTCGCCGCCTTAGTGGATCAGAGGGAGATTGGCTACCGTGCGACTAGTTTGATATCAGGATAGTGGTGGATCCTAGTGTTGGTTTACTCTTAGCTGAGCTTTGTGATGGAAACGCCGGACGCCCTCTCAGCTTAAGAGACCCTACGGGGGAGGGATGAATCTCGTCGTTGCACAGCCCGATATTTGCAAGCCAACAACTATTCCCTTGAATGTGAGTACGACCGTTTAATTTTTAACTCATGATCTGTTGTTTCCTAGTACCTTCGTATTTGTAGAGTATTACAGTCTTTATGTTAAAAAAGGAATAACGTGGACTCAGTGCTGCTATGGTTGTTCATTTTTTATCCCTTCTTTCTGGTCATCCTGCCGTTTCTTCAAAATTGCTACAGGAGGCTCGGCGAATGGGACTACCGATCATGTCTCCGTTATGGATAAACGAAGCTTGGGAGGCTGCTCAGGCCTTCTCGCTCGAAAATTTGGTATCGAACGAAGCAACTCAGCGATACCGTCTACCTATTTTCAGTAAAATGGTGTGTTGTAGCATTTATACCTAGAGGTTCATGTAAAGTTGACTATTCTCGTCACATAGTCTCATATTTGCAACAGCGAGATTTTTCTTTTCTTGTTTTTTTCTCAAATACTTCACTTCTTTTGGTGGAAATTTTTGCCTCAGTACGCGTCAACGAAGCTATAATTGTTTATTTTAAACGATAAGCTGATTTTTTTAAAGGTTATCACTGCTACTGGAGTAGGTGGAAGCGAACGTATGGATATTGCTCGCCTGATTGAACTGAATGGAGGACGGTTTTCTGGTGACATGAAGCGCAGTGAATGCACACACCTTATAGCTGACAAAACTAGAGGTGTAAAATTCAAAAAAGTGGGTTATTATTATCGTTCAAGAAACCCTTCGTATATCAGCAGTATACTATGATGCTTTTTCTCTGTTATCTTTCCGCCACTGATACTCTAAAAAGCTTCAATGAAGTAGAATTGTTTTTCAGGCTCGTGAATGGAATACGATTAAAATCGTTCGATCATCTTGGCTACGTAAATCTGTGATAGCTGGTTATGTTTTACCAGAGAGGTAGTAGTATTTTTTAGAACACAGTTCATGGGTGTTTGATAAAAATCGTCCCGGTAATGGAGAATAACTATTTGTTGATCTAGTATAGGAACGAACGGCTCATCAGTTTGTCGAGTGTTATATATTTCTTATCATCATTTTAAAATCCCTTACAGTGATTAACTCATTTTGCTCAAAAATAAGCGTTTTTCAGTGTGATGTCTTTGCACTGTTTGTTTTCTCTATGTCCTTTACTGTGAAGTACCTTAAAGCAGTTTTTTTTTCTTCAGTGCATTTGATCCAGAGAAGCGAAATAGGTGTAGTACTCCTGCTGTAGACTCAAGGATTCCAGAACATGAAGAATTGGAATACAGTGCGATCTCTGGTTTGTCATGTTGCTTATATTTACTATCATATAATATTTGTGATATAAGTGCTTGAAATGTTCTATAGCCCTTCAAATGTTCCAATGAGTTACAACTACTATAATGCTGAAATATTTGAAAAAAGTGGACCCCGGGCCAGATTCAAACCGACGATTTCCCGTTCTGGGGGCTCACTTGTTATCCACTGCACCATTGAAGCCTTTGCTTTGCCTTTCTCTCACCTAGTTTTCTACCTAAGGGTACTGTCAGCAATCACCTGTCAACGGAAATGGTCTGGAGATACAAATCGGCAATAAACCTACATAAGTTGAGGTTGTAACCAAAATCGCAGTGCAGGACTTTTTATTTACTGCCTATTATTAGCCCTGCCGTGGAAGAAAGTACTAATAGGCAGTAAAAAAAGCTAAACATACGAGGTGAATTGTTTATTCAAGCGTAGTTGCATTGGTTTTTCAAAGCCCAGTTTCTGTGGTGTTACTCTTATTGTACTTTTTTTCCCAATACCTTTGTTCTTGAACGGATTATTTTCTTTTCTTAAGGTAAAGGAGGGCGTTTGGATAACTCAACATTTAATACGCAAATTTCCAAACATGACGACTTGGACTGCGAGAGGTCACCGCGTACAGTAATGCGGTCTGTATGTACATTTTGGAGTAGTTCTATAACCTTCTGAAAATGGTATTTCGATCCAGGCCCAGTCTTCGTCGAGAATCTATCCGCCATCGTCGTGTGCAGTCAAAATCTTGCTTATCTGATCCTGTTGACCATCTAGAGGAAACTTTTTCCAAAGGCGATTTTGATTTCCTTGAAGTAGGTCACTATACCTGTGTAAATATGAATGAAATTATTATGGGAACAAGCGAGAAAGGTCTAATGAATACTTCTAGCTTTTTTAATCGCTACCAAGGAAAAAGCTGTACTTATTAGATATTGCAGTTAAATGGCGAGTTTTTAGGGTTGTCGAATATGGGTTTGCGGTGCGGATCAAACAAGGTTCGATAAGTGGAAAAGAATGCTTGACAGGTCTGTAACTTTGCCTACTTTTTAATTTACATCTTTTTGGCAGTTTGCATCGCTCCCCACTAGTTTAAGCGTTTTGATTTTTGAGCTGTTAAATTTGAACTAAAACTTTGGTTAAAGTCCAGTCGTTTAAACATATTGAAATATCTTGCTGTATGTCATGGGCGCGCGTGTGCAGTGATAGTGGATGCCCTGCAATGCACATGTGGATCGATTCCTGTGTCCATGGCCCACCAAGCCTTCCATCGTGCCGGGGTCGGCAAATTGGTACCAGACTTGTCTGGGAGGATAGCAGCACTGGCTCGATACATCGAAAGGCCACCTCGAGTCATTGTAAAGGCCAGATATGCATTCGGTCACCTCTAAACAATGATTAACGAAGTCGAATGCATGGTGCAGCCTTGAGGGATTGATCAACGCTGTGAGCTTTATCCTTCTTATCCTTTGCTGTATGTCTGCATTTGAAGGATGTTTATTAGACTTACATTCTTGTACAACCAATGTGAGTGGTATGTAACAATTTGTCATTTGTAAAAATGAATGCTGTATTATCTCTGTTTAGAAGTTTCATTTTATTTGTCAGTTTTGTTCTTCCCTCCATTTCATGCTGAGCACTTTTCTTCTTTGTTCAATTTTGTCTCTAGAAGCGGAGCAACTAGGGTGGCGAATGTAGAAGCTGCTAGCCATGTAGTAGTTATTAACGTTCCATCAAGCGAGCGTACTCGTTTAATACAAGCTCAATCTCGCGGTGTTCATATTGTTCGAGCCGAGTGGGTGGCCGCTTGCTTTATGCAGAAGGACCAAGTTCCATTAAAAGGTTTGTTTAGCTTCATGTGAATTTATTAGGTTCAAGTCAATTTAGACTTTTTCATCCTGTAATCAGCGTAGGCTTTTTAAGAGCTTGTAAGTGTTCGGTTCGTACTATCGCCAGCTCTTAAAATGAGCCGTTCTCTTACTCATTACTGTTTCGATCTTAAAACATATACCATACGGAATTCATAGACTCTGGTTTTTTATAGATCTGTGAGCTTTGTGCTCTTACGGAAATGCGGACTGTAAGAAAGGATCGTGGCGGGTTCTTATTGTGATTCTTAATGGTTTCTCTTTCCAGAGTTTTTGTGGGATCCAAGTGACAGTATTATTCAAAGTGTGTGTTCTTCCACTTCTGCGCAACGGTCCGACGAAATTCTTGATGTGAATGGTTTAAAAATATATCTCATTTAGCCAATTACGAAAACTTACAAGTGATTGCTTTTGATTTACGGAAAAAGTAACAAACTTTTCACCAATTTTGGATTGAATTGAATCCAATTGTTTGACACGAACTACGATAGGATTTGTGCTTTACAGCGACTTGACAGTGGACTATCTCCACGTTCAAGCAGAGATGCAACGAACAGCATGGATTTAGGAGCATCCGATTATTTTAACCTAACTGCATTTTGTGATGTGTCAAATGATCCTAGTCTGTCTAATATATTTCGGTGAGTCTCTAGGAGAGAAATTTCTATTGATGTTTCATCATTCATTCTGATTTTTAAAAAAAATTTTTACAGTACTTAGCTGAGTACTTAATACCCATGGTCTGACGTGAGCTGATTTCCGCTAATATGTGGGGTGGCAGAGTGTTCTGCATTACTTAACATATTGTTTCCAGTTGCTTATCTTGCCACGCTTTTCATAGCGTAATATTATTTCATTGGAGGGGAAGATTGGCCTGTGTAAGTTCCATCCAATCCGTATTGTATACCCCCAAAATTTAAGTTTCAGTCGGCGGCTGCACTGATTTAGGCTTGGAATTCGTTGTGGTGATACGAACGGTTGACCACATCCACACGATAACAAAACTCAGTGAAGTATTACGAGAGTACAAGAGGCCGTTCTGTTTCAATTCCATGGATTTAAAGAAAATTTTGATTCAGTTGAGATAAGCAGTCATGGAAGCCGTTGACAGTCAGGGAGCCCTACTCAGTACATAAAGATTCTTCGTGAGCTGTACAAGAATTTCACAACCAAGATATCACCATTCTGCAACGATGTTCACATCAACATCAAAAGAGGAGTTAGGCAAGGCGGTAGCACCTCTCCAATATTATACACTACCACCTTCGAGAATGTCATACGAACACTAATGGGACAACATGGGAGTGGAAATAGATGGTTGGTTATTACACCATCTTTGCTTTGCTGATGGCATTGTTCTTATAATATCAAACGTTAGCCATATGGAAAGAATTCTTGACGACTTTGAGAAGCCTGTGGAAAAATAAGTGTTCGACTAAATCTCACAAAAGCGATGTTCATGAAGAACCGAGTTGTCACATAAGATGTATTCGCGCTCAGCGGTATGAATATCGAATGCTTCACCTATGTCTGACTAAATTGAAAAATCGATATGATGAAAGATTTACTTCTGGAGTTGAGCAGAAGAGTGCGAGCGACATGGGGAGCTTTCAAGAGTATGGATGACGCGAGTGAGAAAGGGGATCCGAAAGCCTGACCTACATCAACGATCAAAAATCATAGACGCCGCTCTGTACGCCAAATGGTAGAAGGTGCGATGGACCAGGAAGGTGCTGTGCATTGACGACAACCGATGGACAAGATTCTTTAACGGTTGGGTTCCTCGAGATGTCAAACGCACAGCAGGAAACCCACCGACCAGATGGTTCGCGACACTACCCTCGAAGAAATGTGTGATATTCAACGAATTCCTAGACAGAGCAAAACTTACAGAGCTACTCGTGCGTGCAATAGTGAGAAATGGAAGGTTTACTGGAGTTCGCTTGAGTCACTCGATGATATACGTTGCAACGGAGGTTACAAGTGAATATTAACGGCTGCTGAGAAATCTATCCCATTTTAGATTATTGTGGTCTTTTCAGTGAAATAATATATGTCGTCATCATTTCTTTTGTAATAAAGTGGTGAGTTATGTAATTTTTAGACCGCTTAAGTTCCGTTTATATGGCTTGGATCCAGACGTAGAGTTTCAAATAAGAAAAGAAGTGCGATCTGCTGGAGGTGAGGTTCCAAGGGCCTATTACAAAAGTGATGAAATGATATCTGTTTTTGACATATTCATGACAGAGCATATCCTTCTATAACTATAGATGACTTCTCGGTTTTTTAAACATTGAAGGAATTGAGAATCTACCCGTCTTCTAGAGCACTTTGAAAGACGATTTTGGGTCCCAAAAATTAAAAGTTTCATCATCGAATAGGAGAAATTGTATTTTGCTGGCAACAATCTGTTTAGCTTTGTTTTTTGTCTATTTATATGGTCTTATAAACCGATCTTCTTAAGCTGATGCGAGGTTGGTACAGATCTTCATTGTCGTTTTCGTTGTTGTTGTTGTTTCTGTTGATGTTGTTTGTCGATGGCTCACGTTTCGACGATTTCGTCTTCCTCAGAGCCGTGATGTTGAGTGGGACTTCAGTCCAGACAACGAAGACCTGTACCAACCTCGCATCGGCTTAAGAAGATCAGTTTATAAGATCATATAAATAAGTGTATCAACTATCTAAGCCGACGTTTATGGAAAGTCGGTTTTTTGAGATGTTTGCAAAAGTCCGGACCGCAGGTGTCTGCGGTGGGAAACGAACGCGCTATTGTCCT